GAGGAGGAGGAGGACGGGTCGCCTAAGCCCTTGGGAGAAACCCTTCATAGGGGCATTCTTGTTTGAGTGTTGTGCCACGCTTGCGGCCCGAGTAAGCCAGAGCGCCTACGCTCACCGTGCCCTCGTGCGCGAGACTCCCTCTCGCCAGGCAGTCCCGGCGGACCCTCCAGGCCTGGTGGGAGCTTCGGTGGGTCTAGCGGGGCTGGTGGACCTGGCGGACACGGTGGGCCTGGCGTGGGTTTCCTGGCGCGAAGCCACAGACCTATGGCAGATTTCTGTTTTCAATCCGTCGTCGTCGTCGTCGTCGTCGTCGTCGTCGTCGTCGTCGTCGTCGCCGTCATCGTCGCCGTCGCCGTCGCCGTCGCCGTCGCCGTCGCCGTCGCCGTCGCCGTCGCCGTCGCCGTCGCCGTCGCCGTCGCCGTCGCCGTCGCCGTCGTCGACGTCGTCGTCGTCGTCGTCGTCGTCGTCGTCATCCCCGTCATCCCCGTCATCGTCGCCGTCGCCGTCGCCGTCGCCGTCGCCGTCGCCGTCGCCGTCGCCGTCGCCGTCGCCGTCGCCGTCGCCGTCGCCGTCGTCGTCGTCGTCGTCGTCGTCCTACTTTTTCTCTTTCTCCTTCTAGCTCACGTCCGAGCTGTACTTGCCCTGGTGCCTAGTCTGCGGGTCCTCCAGCCCCGCTTCCGATCCCGTCTGCAAGCTGTGGCCCTTCGTCACCTCCAGCTTTGTGCCGTCCTAGTCCTCGAACACATCCCCTGTCGTTATCTTATTCGTCTTTCTCCCACTCCCCGTCCAGGCCACGCTGGCCTCTGTCCTTGTGGATCTCCAGGCCGATGGGCAGCACCTCGAAGCCCTGAGGCCCGATCTTGCTGCCGACCTGGAGGCCCCCCAGGTCCTGCTGGTCGTCGATGGGTCGCCGGGCAACCCTCTGCCCATGCCGCGCTGCTCGCCCAGCGCCTGATCCAGGGCGAGAGACAGCTCTGCCGCGTCCCGGGCCTGCACGCGCCCGCCAGCGCGGACCAGTGCAGCCCGCCCTCCGCGCGGCCGCGCGGAGGGGCCTCGGCCAGGCACGGCCAGCTCGTCTCGCGGATGCCACCGTCGGAGCCCAGGTCGCAGCTCGGCGGCGCGCCGATGGCGAGCGTGAGAGGGGGCAGGCCCTCCCCGAGGGCGGCGGGGCTTCTCGGAAGCCCACGCGCCCTTGAGAAGCCGTTCGCGGCTCGGAGAGGGCCCAGAAAGCTTCTCAGAAGGCCGGGTGCCTTCTGAGCCTCCTGGGAAGGCCCGCTCCCCTCTGCCTTCCCCCTCCGGGGCGCGCGGCCCACAGACACGGCCATCTCGTCTCGTGGATGACAGCTGAGCGGCGCAGAAACGCGGGTTCGACGGCTCGGATGTGCGTGCGTGAGCTGCCCGCGCAAGGTCGCGCGTAAGCGCCCTCGGTTCCACTGTCGCATGCCGCGCTGGCGGCCTGGGTGAGCCACCGCGTAATGTCGCCACGCCATCGTGCGTAAGATCGCTCGGCTGTCGGAGCCCTGATCGCAGCAACGCGCAGGGGCCGCCCAGTGCGCGCGATGGCAGCGGCGCGCGCGTCGCGCCGCGAGCTGGCGGATGCGGGGGGCCATCCTTTCCCTGGCCAGCGGGGCGCGTGCGCCGACGCCCCTGCGGCCCGCATGCGCCCTGCGGGTTACTCCTCTTCTCCTCCTCCTCCTCCTCCTCCGCGTCTTTTTCCTCCTCCTCCTCTTCCTCCTCCTCCTCCTCCGCCTTCTCCAACACAAACGGCATAGACATAATTTCTGGAAGGTCCGCGCGCTCGGTGCTTGGCCCCCCTGGCGGCGCCAAAGGGGCGACCTCCGCGCGCCAGGGAGGGGTGCAGCGCTGATCCAAGAAAGCTGCATGCCGCTTCTTGTTCTCTTGTCCTCCTCCTGGAACTGGGCGGCGCACGCACGGAGCTCGTTCTCGGACGTTTTCGTCCCAGGAGGGTCCCAGTCTCGGGGTGCTTTCCACCAGCTCCCTCTCGCCGAGAGGCGTCTGCGGCTGCCCAGATCTTCTGGAACGGCCGCCGGGGGCCCGAGTTCTGACTCGAAAGGCGCCGCCCGAGTCTAGCGGCGCTCGCTGATAGGGGTTGCGCGAAGTGGGGGCGGCCCTCTGAGGAGGCGGGGTGCTTCTTTCCTCAGCGCCGCCCGTGTTTGGCGGCGCGCGCTGATGGGGTTGTGCGAAGGGGGCGGCCTTCCGAGGAGGCGGGGTGCTTCTTTCCCCAGCGCTTCCCTCTCCGGTTTTTCGACGGCCGCCTCCCTCGCGCCGCCCCTTCGCGCGCACCCCCCTGGGAACTGTGGGGAGGGAGGGGATCGAAGAGACATATTCCAAGTTCGTATAATTTGTTCAAGCCCTCGTGCTACTTGCAGCGCCGATCCAATCAGTCCACGCGGACCTTCGAACGTTGCTGTGTCTGCAGTTTTTCAATCCTTCCTCTTTCCTCCTTCTTCTCTATCCTCCCCGCCGCCACAGCCGCGGACTCTGTTCGACAAGATCTGGGACGATCACCTGGTCCACGAGGCCTGCGCTACCCCTTGCGTGGTCGCGCCTCCCCTGTTCCTTCTCACGAGTGGGGAGGGGAGGGAGGAGGAGAAGGGAAGGGGGGGGCAGAGAAGAGGGGGCAGGGAGGACGAGGGAGCAGATGGTGATGAGAAGGGAGAATCGTGGAAGAGAGGTTTCAGGTGAAGGAGCAGAAGGAGGAGGAGGAGGAGGAGGAGGAGGAGGAGGAGGAGGAGGAGGATCAGGAGGAGGAGGAGGAGGAGGAGGAGCAAGGTGATGGGTGAGGAGGAGGAGAAGGAGGAGGAGGAGGATGAGGAGGAGGAGGAGGAGGGAGGAGGAGGGGGAGGAGGAGGGGGAGGGGGAGGTTGATAGGGGATGGATGGATGGATATGGAGCTGACAGGACCAAGAGGGAGGGCAGGCAAGGAGGGACAAGGAAGGAGGAGGCGGCGAGAAGAGGAGGGAGCATGGATAAGGGGGGGGGAGGGCCCCATCGTGGTGGCGGGCTGCCTGGCCGAGGGCCGCAACGTTCGCCCAGCAGCATAGCCGCTGCCGCAGCCCTCCTGTCAGCGTTAGCGCAGGTGGTTTTGATGCCATCCTGAATCTGTACTGCAGACTCGCGCCGCGTCGACGCGGCGACGACGCTGGCGTGGGCGGTCAAGGTCGAAGTGTCACTGGCGGCCTGAACCATGCCAGCCTTGAGCGATGCCCGCTATCGGAAAGTGGAGGTCGCTTAAGATCGAACTTACGCGGTGTCAGAAACCGGAGGGAGGAGCAGCGACACCACCACTGGGCCGCTTCCAGTGAAGAGGTCCACGACGACTTCTTGAGCTGGAGATCGGAGACGCCTTGTCCAGGACGCCGCAAAATAGGGGCAACACACTACCATCGCGGGTTCGTAGAGGAAGGGCTAGCCCAAGGTGGGGTTAGGCAGCGGACCCAGCCCGAGGCTCATACTTCCCTCCTCCATGGCTTATCCACTTTTACGCCCGCCTGACACCTGGAGAACCGTCCCTGGTGCCTCGGGCTGGTGGTGGTGGTGATGCCGATCTCCAGGACCCCCCCCATGGGCCCGCAAAGGGGGTCGCGCTCCGCGCAGCGCGCGCCTCGGCTTGAGAGCTGCCCCCTCTGGAGCTGCCTCGCGAGGGCGCAGAGATGACCGTGCGGCACGCGCACCGCGGGGCGCGGCGCGTGAAGCTGGGCGACCAGGGTCCTACAGTTCAGTCGGGCCTGTCCCTCTACAGGAGGAATGCTCAAACATAGTAGAAACATAATAGGGGGGCATTTTTTTGAGATTTTTTGGAGTATGTTTCATCAGTCGCCCACAAGCCCCCTGTGGGGGGGCCGCCCGACCTACTCCGACAGCCGAGCGGCGCCGGAGTCGGGACCACTTCGGCTCGGGAGGGTCCGTGCTTCTCGTGCAGTCTCTTGGACCCTGGGCGGGGAGCCCGCTCGTGGCCGAGGCTCGCCGTGGCCCGAGACGCCCAGTCGTGTCTCCTTCAGCGCCGGGGTGGCACGATGCCCAGACATGCGACGCCCCGACTGTTTCGATGCGGGGTCCCTGGAAGGCCCGACCCTCGCCCCCGGGCCGGTCTGTGATCCCGAGCCAGTTTTCCGACGGCCCCGAGGCTCGGCGAGGGCCCCCGACTGCGGAAGGCGGTCAAAGGCCGGCTCTTTCCTCGTCTGCGTCTGTTCGACGCCTTCGCTTGTCGTTTTGTTGTTGTTGTTGTTGTTGTTGTTGTGGTTGTTGTTGTTGTTGTTGTTGTCGTTGTTGTTGTCGTTGTCGTCGTCGTCATTGTTGTTTTTGTTGTTGTTGTTGTTGTTGTTGTTGTTGTTGTTGTTGTTGTTGTTGTCGTTGTTGTCGTTATCGTTGTTGTTGTGGTTGTTGTTGTTGTTGTTGTTGTTGTTGTTGTTGTTGTGGTTGTGGTTGTGGTTGTTGTTGTTGTTGTTGTTGTTGTTGTTGTTGTTGTTGTTGTTGTTGTTGTTGTTGTTGTTGTTGTTGTTGTTGAACATTATTTCTTCTAAAGAATAATTATTGTTGGGACCCCTGGTGCACGGCCCCCCCGCCGCGCCTAGGCCGCAGCCATGTTTTCATCATTTTCGTGAGGAAGTCTCAGGCAAAACGGGTTGGTCCGGATCCGGTTGTGTTGTTACGATCGGTTTTCCCTTGCAAAAAATAAGGCAAAGTGGACATTTCTTGTTCTAACATAACCAAACTTCAAGAATCCCTTGCAAAAAATAAGGTAAAGTGGACATTCGCGCGCGCAAGACGAAATCCTTCCAAAACCTTAGTGTTCGTAGCGATTTTAACATAAAAACATAAAAAACCAATGGTTTTTCAAAAAAAAGTGTCAAAATTTCATCCCGCGCGCTCTTGCGGATTTGTAGGAAACCCAACACTTTTTAAACATTTCTGTCAAACGGGCTTTTGCGAGCAACTTTTTCACGTGCTTCGAACTTCTCCAACAACGGTTGCGCACCTGCCAGGGCCATCATCCCTGTCAAATAATACCATGCGGGACACATTCGTTTTTTCTTCGCGCGCGCACGCCGAAATCTTCAAAAACCATTGGGTTTCTTAGGAATTTTAGCACCGCGCAACATAAAATCATACGAATCGCACCGTAGGTCCTCGAAAAACATCTGTACGAATTTTCAAAATTTCTACCCGCGCGCGCTGTCCGAATCCTAAAAAACCAATGGTTTTTCAACATTTCATTGTAGGACCTACAGACAGTACCGGCGTCGTACTGGTTTACCGTGGTTTCCTATTCTAGCGTCAGGAACACGTTGCCACCAAAAACCAGTACAGGTGTCCAGTGTTGGAACAGGGGGAAAAGTTGTATACTAAGCTAGCGTCCAGAAAATGTTACCACAACAAGTCACTGTACCCATGCGTCCAGTGTAGTAGCCACGGTCGTCCGCAGGCCACGAAGTGAAGTGTCCGAACGTCATAGGGCGGGAAGCTGGGTGTGGGTGGTGGCGAAGAGTCGTTTGGAAATGTGGTAGAGCTTGAACCGGCCCCCCCACAAAGTGGGGGTATTGCCCGCCTCCTATGAAAACCCTGGCACTGGTGAGAACGGAGTGTCCCCACGTGCTAGTAATTTTGTCGAACATTATTAATTCTAAAGAATAATTATTGTTGGGCCCCCTGGTGCGCGCCCCCCCCGCCGCGCCTAGGCCGCAGCCACGTTTTCATCATTTTCGTGAGGAAGCCTCAGGTAATTCGAGGTGATCAAGATCCGGTTGTTTTGTTGTAATCCGTTTTCCCTTGCAAAAAACACTATAAAATGACATTTCTTGTTCTAATATAATCAAATTTCAAGAATCCCTTGCAAAAAATAAGGTAAAGTGGACATTCGCGCGCGCAAGACGAAATCCTTCCAAAAGCTTAGTGTTCGGAGCGATTTTAACATAAAAACATCAAAAAACCAATGGTTTTTCAACAAAAAAATGTCAAAATCTCATCCCGCGCGCTCTTGCGGATTCGTAGGAAACCCAACACTTTTTAAACATTTCTGTCAAACGGGCTTTTGCGAGCAACTTTTTCGAACTTCTGCGACAACGGTTGCGCACCTGCCAGGGCCATCATCCCTGTCAAATAATACCATGCGGGACAGATTCGTTTTTTCTTCGCGGGACATACACCGCCCCGAATAAGTGACCAAGTTCTGTGGGTGTGTACCCCACGCCAGTGTAGTAGCCACGGTCGTCCGCACGCCACGAAGTGAAGTGTCCCAACGTCATAGGGCGGGAAGCTGGGTTTGGGTGGTCGCGAAGAGTCGTTTGGATATTTGGTAGAGCTTGTAATGCCCCCCCACGAAGTGGGGGTATTGCCTGGTGTCGTATGAAAACCCTGGCACTGGGGAGAACACCACGCGTTCGGGTAAAATGATTGTTGTTGTTGTTGTTGTTGTTGTTGTTGTTGTCGTTGTTGTCGTTGTTGTCGTTGTTGTTGTTGTTGTCCCGTTCAGATATGTATATATGTATATATAAAACTTTTAATTGTACTTTTTATTTATATTTTTCATTCAAAAGATGAGGGCAGTTATTCTGTCCTCCCCCAACAAAAATCCTCCCGTCGTGACTTCCTTCACGCCGCGAGCACGTCTCGGCAGCGAGGCCGCTCCTCGCCGTGCCCCACTCGGCTCCGTGGTGCCCCTCGGCCGCCTCCGACCGCGGCGTGGAGCCGCGCCGCTGCGACCCAGCAGCCTGGGCAGAGAGGCCAGTGCCCACGCCGACGCGACGGGAGCCGCCTCTCTGTGGCACTCGGCGTGCCCGGCGCCTCGGGCCGCGCCTAGGTCCTCCCCCGCTCCGGGCCCTGGCGCTCTCCGGGGGGCGGCCTCCTTCGGCGAGGCGCGCGGCTCAGCGGGGGCGCCCGGTGACGGCGTGGTGAGAACACCGCGCGGCGGGCCAGTTTCCGGAAGTTTCCAGACGTCCTCGTCGGTTCCTGGCGGTCTTCCAGTCTCGGCGTGCCTTGCGGCAGCGGGGTGCTTTCCAGCAGCTGCGCCTCGCCGAGGGTGTTCCGGGGGTGCCCAGACCAGAGCGTCCCGAACGGCGCCTGAGGCCCAGGGTATGGCCTGAAAACCACCTGGCGCCGAGGGCCCCGAGACGGTGCAGTGGCCACGCCGCGTGGTGAGCGGGGTTTCGGGGTCACCGTGCGGTTTTGGGGCTCGGGTTGTTCTCTGGGGACGCCTCGGGCGACGGGGGCCGCCGAGGTTCCAAGACCGCGCGGTGACGGGCCCTGAGATCGCGGCGAAAAATCGCATTGCGACAAATCGCTCCTGGAGCCCTGAAACCATTTTTCCGAGCCGGATCGATGCGCGCGGGTCTCAGGGCCTGGGCCTGGGCGAAACAGCCTTTTGTGAGAGAATTGCAACGCCTGGATCTGAGGGGACCGCCCGGTGAGGCCTCTTGCGATCTCGGGGTCACCGCACGGTCCGTCACTCGTTTTCGCCTTTTGGGGCTTCCTGGGAGGCCTTCGTCGCCACCGTGGATTCGCTTCGAAATTCTGGTGAGTCAGAACGCACCCTGGGACATGGCCGGGGAGTAGCGGCATCGGTATATATGTTGCTTTGCCTAGGATTGCGCTTCGAATCGCCGGTTCATCGGCGATGCGGCTCGACGTGGGGCCCGATTTTCTCCACGTCGACTTCGCCGATTTTCTCCACGTCGCCCGACGGCCGAAGACGACCAGACACGACGAGACCAGACAAGACGAGATCAGGCGAACTTTGACGAGACGTGGCCAGACGAGATTAGACTAGACATGCCAAGACCGCTCCAGGTCGGGCCATGATGGCCCCAAAACACCCAAGAGAGCCCCCGAGATGCCCACATCCGCCCAAAGCTCAGGGAAGCCATTGACTTTAGCCATCCTGCAGTTTTCTTTCGGAAAAACTCCAGAGGCGTCGAGATGGCTTCATCAGAGTAAACCCCTCCTTGAAGGGAACATGGAGAATCTGGAAGAGTGGACTCCCTAAGCCACGCAAGTCTGGAGGGCTAGTGGGATTCGATCTCGGCAGACGCCTTGATGGTAGTGTATTTGGTTGGTGCGTAATCAATACACAAAAAAGGTCAATACCGAGCATATTGTTTGATTCAACTTACGCAAGTCCATCGCTTCCTCTTCTTTTTCCCCCTATCCCATCCCCGCCCCCTTCCCCTCTCCTTCTTGCTTCCCTTTCCCGTCCTTGTTCCACCTGTTCCCCCTCTTCCCCGTCCTGTCTCGTCTCCTCCCTTCCCATCCCTTTCCCTCCCGTCTCTTTACATTCACTCCTACACAGTAGCGCCATAGGAGTAATATTCTGATTTCTCTCCTGATTCTGTGTTGGTTGGCCGCCGCCTCTCCGTGTGTGTGTGTGTGTGTGGTCGTTTGATTTTTTTGTTATTTGCTTTGTTTGGACTGGAGTGGTTTGTTTATGTTCTGTTTGCGCGCAGGATATCGAAAGCTACGATCAGGCAGGGGAAACACTCATGAGTTTTACTAGCTTCTGTTGGGCTGATTCGTTACCAAGAAGGTGCTCCCACTGCAGCGTTGCCCACAGCTCCCGATTGGTGTTTTGCTTCCGTCGTTCAGAATTGCGACCTAGGCTCCAGCGCTGGTCACATTTTTGGATCCGGTTCCTTCCTTGTCGTTGTTGTCCCCCAATTTTCCCCTCCTCCGCCTTTCTCTGCTCCTCCTGCTCCTCCTGCTCCTCTTGCTGCTGCTCCCTCTAGAACGCCCCGGTTGGCGGATAGTACATTGTCTTGCGCAGTGCGAAGGGGTGGGTGGGAAGGGCAGGGATGTGAGACATATGGCTCTTGCACACCTCGCTTGTCCTATACCTCTCTCCGTTCCCCGTTCATTTTCCCTTCCCTCTCCTCTCATCCCGCCGTCATCTTTCTGCCGCCCCCTCTCTGCTGCCCTGTCCCTCATCTCCCCCTCCCTCCCCGCCCTGCCCTCCTCCCCCTCCTCGTCCTATTCCAATTCTTCCTCCTCTTTCTCCTCCTCGCTCCTACCCCTCCGTCTACGTCCATGCGTCGGGCAGGGTGGATCTACCGCGGGCCCTCCTCCGCGACCGCAGGGAGATGGGTCGGCCCTGATATACATAGATCGCCACCTCGTCCACGAGGTGACGAGCCCGCAGGCTTGGGCCCCGTGCTCGTCCCCTTTCTCTCGGACCTCAAGCAAGTCAATTCTCCTATCCCAGCGTATTTCTTCTAGTTCGGCCCACGACGGGCGGTCTTCGGGCCCGGGGACCATGCCAAAGGGGCCCAGGAGAAATATCCGCTGGAGGAAACTGTCGATAGCTCTGGGGCCTACGGAGTGCGAAACAGCAGCTTCGCTGGAGCTTTGGGCGACCATGCGTGAGGATCAGCCATTGATTGTGTCAGTCGTGCTTCGTACGTGCTGTTCCTTGCTGTTGGAAGTCCTCGCGATATCGACCTACGGGGTACGTGCAATCATGCCTCGACGGCCAGGTAAGGACGGGGCTAGGATGAGGATAAATCAGTTCCAGAGCGTTCCGGAACTCCCTCAGAGCGCTTCGTAAAGCTCTGAGAAGGCCGCAGCGCCCGATACATCCGCAAGAGCTGCTGGATCTCAGATATTCTCGATTTATACGCACCCGAACTTCTCTTCGTCCTGGCTTCGTCTTATAGGTCTCCTGCGGGATCTTGATTCGGTTGTCTATGAGGAAAATTCAGCATGACTCGCTCGGCGCGCAATCTTTCTGTTATCGGAACGCGCGTCCGCCCCGTGAGCCCGACGTGAATCCGACGCACCCCGACTCGAACCCGACGCAAGTCCGACGTGGATCCGACGCAAATTGGGTCTCAAGTTGCCGCGTAAGGCCTCCGGGTAAGGGGACGGAGACGGTTATTTGGAGGCCTTCCGCGGCAATTTGACGATGGTGATCGTGGTGGTGCCGATGGTGATGGTGATGATGACGACGATGAAGATGATGAGGACGACGATCAAGACGAGGAGGATGAAGCGGACGAGGGCGATTAGGATGATGATGATGCTGATGATGCTGCTGCTGCTGATGATGATGATGATGCTGCTGCTGCTGCTGCTGATGATGATGATGATGATGATGATGATGATGATGATGATGATGATGATGATGATGATGATGATGATGATGATGATGAGGAGGAGGAGGAGGAGGAGGAGGAGGAGGAGGAGGAGGAGGAGGAGGAGAGGAAGGAGGAGGGGGCCTCCGCGATTTCCCTCGTGAGGCTGTCCGGGGGCGGTGGCCCTCGGCGCCTCTCGCGTGCCTCGGAGGGCCCTCGGGGGGCGACGGCCTGCACGCCTGGCGCCGACCCCGCCCGGGCCCAGCCCCTGGGGCCACAGAGGTCGGTGTGCACGCGCAGCTCGGCCAGGGTCGGTGTAGGTGCACCGGGGGCCAGGCCAGCCACAACTGGGGCTGCTGTGGTCCTTACCCCCCTGGGGGACCCATCGATTTCGACACCCCTCTCGAGAGATCGTCGATGCGATGGGCTCCCCCAGGGGGGTAAGAACCACAGCTCCCCCAGTTGTGGCTGGTCGGAGGGGCAGCGTCAGGTCATTGTGAGCTTAAGTTGGGCGTGTCCCTCCTATCGGACGAATATTCAAAAATAATTAAAAAATAGCCAGGGGACGATCTTTGGACTATTTTCGACCACGTGGGTGTATTTTTTCGCTGTTTTGGCCATTTGGGGCTAAATGACCACGACAGTGGGGGCCCATATCAAGAAACACCCTGCTTGCCTCCAGGGTGCCCTGGGTTTCTTGGGTTTCGATGGTTTTGCTGTGGAAGTCGTGACGTTCAGCCACGCGCAGAGGGGGGTAGGGGGAGAGGGAGGGCTTCTTAGAAGCACCCCTGCTTCTTAGACGGCGCGGGCTTTATCTACAGATGTAAGGCTGGCGCCTTCTAAGAAGCAGTCTCCTTCTAAGAAGCCCTACCCTCTCCCTCCACCCCCTTGTGCGCGCCGCCAAGACGTTCCCGCACCAACTGCCCATGGGCGTCCTGGGGTCTCAGGATTGTGTTTCTTGCGGAAGGTTTCTTGTGGTCGGGCCCCTACTGTAGGTGCATCAGGGGCAACGTCAGGCATTGTAAGCAAACACAACCCTTAACCCTCATAACACATTGTTTTCGCGGCTTAACCTGGGTCCACGGTCTTTAGGGATGTCCCCAGATCATACAGCTGGTTTCGTCTGAGGCATCTTCCAACAACATCCCCTATCCCTAGTGCTTTTGGCCCTCCCTATTTCGGTCCCCTCCTTCTCCCTCTGCGTCTTTCTCCCATGGTTTGATTTGTCACACCCGCTGATGCTCCATTGTTTCACATAATCACTGTCTGATGCACTCCGGCCTCTCCGTGCGCTTCGCGCACTGTGGAGCCGCTCCGCTGGACGGATGTTTGGCCACCGCTCCGCTCCGCTCCGCGCTCGTGATTTAGGTCCCCTCCCAAAGGGCCATGGGGTACTTTCCTTGCTTATCGTCAGGCGGGAATGCATCGACACCCCGTCGCCGATCGATCGCCGACGGGGACCCCACGGCCCGGCCCGCCCAGGAGCGTGCGGACTTGCTCTCGGAGGCCTGTTGCCGATCCGTCGGCGATGCATCGCCGATCTCAGGCCGACGCCTCCCCCCCTCTGAGCTGGTTTCTCTCCCCTCTCTCCCCCTCGGCTGGCGTTTCGCTGTGCATGACATCGCGTGTGGCGTTCTCGCCTTGTCCGGAGGTTTTCCGTCCCACGGCTCGGTGCCAATCGCTCAGTGTTCGTTCTAGGAAAATCACGCCGCGCTGGTTCCGCCCTGGCGTTGCCCCTCAAGCCTGGCCAGGGTCGGTGCAGGTGCACAGCTCGCGTTCCCCTGGCGGGGCCACTTCGTGGCCCGTCGGCCCCGCGGGGGTCCTGACTGCTGGGGGCTCGGCGGCTCCGTGGCCCGCGGTCGTGGTTCTCGCGGTTGGCTCGTGACTCAGGCGCAGCGTGATGCGGACACGGGATCACGGGGGGGGCGCATCGACCGCCAATCGCCCATTCATCGCCGAGAGGGGCCGATAGCCCCGTCCCGCCCAGGAGCGTGCGGATTCGCTGCACGGGGGCCTCTCGCTGACCCACTGGGGATGTATCGCCGATGCGAGCTGAGCTGGTCCCCCCTGACGTTCCCCCTCAGGGAGGAGCAACCCCAGCTCTGGATGGGGTACCCTGATGTTCTTCTCGTTTGGGCCCCCTGCCTCGGGGCGTTGGGCCTTCGGCACAGGGGGCTCGTGCTGTCGAACTGCGATCTTGTGGCCACGCTTAGTCTTTGCATTGCAAGCTACACGCTTGGGATCGCTTTGCATCGTGAGCTTCACGTGTTCGTGCCCGCGCTTACACTTTGACTCGTTTGCGTGTGCACTTGATCTTCGGCTCGTCCTCCCGACATTTCGCGTGCAACGATGCGTACATGTGCGTGTCCCTGGCCGTGCCCCCGTGCGTGGGTCTGCTTACGCGCTTGGACTTGCGTTCGCACGCGCGTACGCGTTTGCTTGACCCATGACCTTGCAGTAGCTACCTCCCACCTTCGCTGCCGCTTGCACGAGTGTCACGGCAGGCGCCCCATGGACCACACGACTGTTCCGTCCGCCGTGCCTGATCTTCATGGCAATGGAATGTTGCTCCCGCGATGTTGGAGGGTGGAAACTTGCGTATGCTGCGCCCGGTGGGCTCGTGCGCAGCACACGTATGCTTCCTTGGATCATTTCTATACCTGTGCGCTCAACGTGCCATAAGCTGGAAGCGGCCCTCCGCCCGGCTGGATGCAGCGCAGGGGCATCGGCGCCAGCGCCGCGAAACGCGCCACTGCAGCATCTCGTCGGCATATCTTCGCCCCGAGATCTCTTCGCTCCTTTTCTCAGTATCGTTCAACCGATCCCCATCCCCATGCTCATCCCCTTCGAGACCCCCACCAAATTACACCCCCAGTTGGGGATACACCCCTCGAAACCCGAATGCTACGGCCTATATCCCCATCTGGGGGGGTAAATCGGCCAGTGGGGCCCAGCCCACGCTGGTGGGGATGGGGATCGGTTAAGCGATACTCACTTTCGGCTGGCCATTGCTCCGTGTGCGACCCCAGCGGGCAAAGAAGGGACGCGGCGACGAGCTGTGGCGGCGGGCGCCCTTTGTGGCTGGGCGACAACGACGACCACAACGACAACCACGACCTCGGCCTCGGCCGTCGACGACAACGACGGCGTCGAGGACGACAACAACGACCAGGACGACGCAGACACCGCGACGACCACGACGGCGACGACGGCCTCGGCGACGACGACGAGTGCGGCCTCGACGGCCTCCTCCGCGCCCCCCTTTGGCGCCGCCAGGCGTTCGAGGGGCTCCGCATGGCGGGCAGGAGGGTTCGGCGTCCGGACTGCACCCTGGCAACGGTCGCGCCTCCCCGTGGGGGCGGCTCCCCGTGCTCCCCCCCGTCTCTCTGGCCCGCGTCCCCCTCCCGTGGCGAGCAGGCGGAGGGTGAGGAGGAGAAGAGGGCAGGGAGGAGTTGATCTAGGCCTCCCAGATGGGGTCGGAGTAGATGGGGTCGGAGGATCGCGGCGCATCGCCGATGAATCGGCGATGCGGCGCGATGCGGAGTCCTATATTTTCCATGCCGGCGTCGTCGATGCATCGCCGATGCGGCGCGATCCTCCGACCCCATCTACTCGGACCCCATCTAGGAGGCCTCTAGTTGAGGGAAGGGGGGGAAAGATGAGGCCTGCCTCTTCCCCTCCATCTCCAGGCTCGCTCTTGCTCAGACCCACTGGCACTCAGATCTAGCACGCTCAGATTCGGTCATACGCAGACTCGGACTCATTGACAGACTCACCCATTCCCAGACTCACATCAGACTCACTCACACTCATACTTTCTTGTATTCAGATTGCCTACAGTACTCAGTTCCACTGATATCCAGACCAACGCGCGCGTTCTCAGACATGCCCATACTCAGACGACAGTCGCACTCATACTTACTCACACTCAGGGTCACAGTCAGACACTTCCACTTCTTATTGTTCACGCTCGGAACCACTCACACTCGCTCTTTCTACTCATACTCGCCCATGCTCACCGCGATGTAGCAGTAGGAGCCGCCACGGAGGGGACAATCTCCCCTTTGCGGTCACACTGTGGGGATGTCTCGTGCGAGGCGCTCGTTTTGTTCCTCTGGCTCCTCTCCCTTGAAAGCTTCATGACCACCGCGGTATAGCAGGCACGACCTCGGCGCACCCCAAGGAGGAGCAGCCAGGGAGGGGGACCCTTCCTCGTTCGCGCCCAGATTCTGGGGATGTCTCTGGCGGTTTTCTTGTGTGGCATCCCGGACACCTCTGCTGTGAGAGCCGCGTGATCATCGCGATGTAGCCACCGTGGCATTTGGACACTTCAAGGAGGGGCCGCCAGTAAGCGGGACACTTGCCCGTTCGCGGCTGGATTATGAGGATATCTAGAGCGAGACTCTCGTTCAGCAGACTGAGGTAATGTCTCGTTTGGAGTCACTGGCTCTGCTTTGAGAGCCCCGTGACTACCGCGATGTAGCAGGGGTGGCACTTGGGCACCCCAAGGAGGAGCTGCCAAGGGGTGTTACACGTGCCCGTTGGCGGTCGGATTGCGGGGACGTCACAGGGGAAACTCTGGTTTGAGTACCCCTCACCCCTCTGCTTTCGGAGTCCCCATGCTGTTCCGATGTAGCAGGCAAAGCATTTGGGCACGCCAGAGGGGAGACGCCATGGAGCGCCCAGTCGCCACAGGCTAAGACTCTCGCCCAGACACTCACGGCGGAAGGTGCCAGGGAGTGACATGCACTCATGGGCATGTCCGCGTCGAATAACCGGTGGGATGCCTCTGCCGTCCTCCCTCACTCACCCGCGCCGTCCTCCCTCACTCAACCGCCTCTCTCGCACACTCATGCTCAACTCAGCTTAGTCATGCTCAGGTCCACTCATACTCAGCTAAGGCATACCCGGACTTACTCACACTCAGTCCTTCCATATCTCCGCTGATTCACTCTCACTCCCAGTCCTACTTAGGCTCGTTCATATTCAGACTCTCTCATATTCAGATCCACCCTGTTTCAGACCACTCCCACTCAGACGTTCTTATACTCAGCTAAGTCAGCTTGCCCTCGGCCTCGCCTCTCGTCCTCGCTTGTCGTCCGTCCCTCCCTCCCCTCGTGCGTCCTTTCCCTTCCCCCACAGCATCGCAATGGGATTCCGCCGCCGACCGGCGCAGAGACCACCGCCGCTCGTGTTTCACACCCTGGCGCCACGGCGCCCATATGCAGCGCACCCGTCGGCGTGCACTTTGCAGGTCCGAGTCCGAGCTCGCCCATTCCGACCGCGATGTAGCAGCCGTTGGATTTGGGCACCCCAAGGAGGAACCGCAAGGGAGGGGGACACTTGCCCGTTCGCGGCCAGACTGCTGGAATGTCTCGACTGGTTGGTTCGCGTGGCGTCCTCGACCCGTGCATTTTTCAGAGCCCCATGATCACGGCGATGTAGCAGGCATGACATTTGTGCACCTAAAGGGGGAGCCGCCAGGGAGGGGGTACTTTCGCGTTCGCGGCCACATTGTGGGAATGCCTCGAGCAGCTCGCTCTTTCGACTTTCCCGACTCCTCTGATCTGATAACCCCGTGATCACGTGATAATGGTGATGATGATGACGATGATGGTGATGATGATGACTATGGTGATGGTTGTTACGAGGATGCTGTTGTTGATGATGCTAATGATGCTGCTACTAATGTTGTTGTTGTTTTTGACGTTGCTGAGCATGATGATGATGCTGCTGCTGCTGATGATGATGATGGTGATGACGTCGATGACGTCGATGACGACGATTACGGTTATGATACTGATAATATTGATGGTGATTTTGATGATCATGACGATAATGTTGATGATGCTGATTATGTTGAGGATGATGATGAGGATGATGATGATGATGATGGTTCTGATAATGGTGATGATGCTGCTGATGATGAGGATGGTGATTTCGCTGATGATGCTGCTGATTATGATGATGATGATGGTGCTGTGCTGATACTGATACTGATACTGATGATGCTGATGATGATGATGATGATGATGATTTTGATGGCGATGACGATGACAACGATGATAATACGGTTGATGACGACGACGATGCTGCTGATGATGATGATGATGATGATGATGATGATGATGGTGAACATGATGATGATGCTGATGCTGATGCTGCTGATGATTCTGATTATGCGACTAATGATGGTGGATATGGTGATAATGCCGTTGATGATGACGCTGACGATGTCGATGGGGGATTATTGCGAGGATGATGATGACGACAATGTCAATGGTTATGATTAGGTTGATGATGATGATGACGATGCTGATGAGGATTATGATGACTGATAGTGAGGATTCTGATTATGATGATGCTGCTGCTGATGGTGGTGGTGACTATACTACTACTAATGATAATCACGATGCTGATATTGATATTGATGCTGATGCTGATGATGATGATGATCATAATAATAATACTAGTGATGCTGTTGATGCTGATGCTGCTGCTGCTGATGATGCTGACGACCATGATGATGCTGTTGCTGATGATGGTGACAAATACGATGATGCTGATGATGATGATGTTGATGGATGGTGATGATGATGCTGCTGATGATACTGATGAGGATGAGGATGATGATGATGATGATGCTGATGCTGATGCTGCTGATGATGATGATGCTGATGAGGATGATGATGATGCTGAT